AGTTCGCTTTTGCGTACCTGGCCTGGCTCATCTACTCCATCGCCTTCACTCCCAAGGTCGTGCTCATCCTGGGCACGTCCATCCTGGACCTCATCGAGCTGCGGGCGCCCTTCGGCACCACGGGCTTCCGCCTCACCATGGCGCTGTCCGTGCCGCTGCTCTACAGCCTGGTGCGTGCCATCAGCGAGGCGGGTTCGCCTCCGGGCTCGGCGGGTCCCCTGCTCCTGCAGCCACAGCAGCATCGCGCCGCGGGCTGTTTCCTGGGCACGTGTCTGGACCTGCTGGACAGTTTCACGCTGGTGGAGCTGATGCTGGACGGCCGCGTGCCGCTCCCCGCGCACCTGCGCTACCTGCTCATCGCCGTCTACTTCCTCACGCTTGCCTCCCCAGTGCTCTGGCTGTACGAGCTGAACACCACCGCAGCAGCAGCTCCGTCCTGGGGCCAGGCCTCCGGACCTGGAAGCTGCAGCCGCCTTTTGCGCTTGCTGGGCGGCTGCCTGGTGGACGTGCCCTTGTTGGCGCTGCGCAGCCTCCTGGTCGTGAGCTACCAACAGCCTCTGTCCATCTTCATGCTCAAAAACCTCTTTTTCCTTGGCTGCCGTGGCCTGGAGGCCTTGGAGGGCTGCTGGGACCGGGGGAGTTGGGTTTCCCCAAGTCGGGCCAGAAACAGCTATGGTGCTCCTCCCTCTGCCCCCCCACCACCTCCACCGCAGCCACCTCAGGGAGGCTCCCAGCGGGGCCACTTGGAAAACGAAGGGGGGCCTCATGGCTATGTCAACACTCTAGCTGTGGCCTCTCAGAATTGAAAAGGGTGAAGGGCAGGGGCTCTGATCTTGGTTTGAGAGTGTTGGGCCCCCTTGGCTGTGTTTTTACTGTTGTTAAGGCTAAAGGTGACGTCTTCTGCCCGCAATGGGTAGAGACTAACTTGGAAGGAGACCAGCAATGTATCGTGAGGGAGGGCGGTCCATGTCCATGGTGGTCCTTCTCCATAGTCCTGCCTGCCCTGACATACAAGGGACTGGATAAATGTGCCACCTGCTTTTCTTGCCTTCCATCCTATGTGGGAGAGTGGAGGAAAAGGGTTTTAGGCAGAGATGGTAGGTGTAGGTTGATGAAGTAAGTGTGTGTGTGTGTGTGTGTGTGTGTGTGTGTGTGTGTGTGTGTGTGCGCGCGCGCGCGCGCGCGCGCGTGCGCGTGCGTGTGCACATGTGTGCAGTGTGTTTCTGGGTGTCTGTCTCATGCTCCTTGCAGTGGGAAGGAGAGGAGGCCTTGCTGCCACCACACACGATACCACCATCCTTTCCTGCCTGAATTTATGACTGGAATCCCCAGGAGTTGCTCCGTTGCTGTACTCCAAGGGAGAAGCTCACCTAGGGCCGTCCTCACTCCTGCTCCTCTGTTCTCAGCTTGGGGAGGAGAGGGTCTCTGCTGTAAGGACCAAACAACACCCTTCCTTGGGTGAGTGCGTATTTCTACCTCTGTGCTTTCAACTTTCATTGCATCACACAGTGATGCTGCTCGAGAAAAAAAAAAAAAAGAAAAAGAAAGAAAAGAAAAAGAAAAAAAATTAAATCACTCAGAAATTGTATTCACCATGGCCACTGGATCCCTTTGGGGTTTGGTACCAGATATTACAGGGTCTGTGGAGTATCAGCCATTGGCTTGCTCTCTTTTGGTTCCTCCTCCTGCACAGGGTACTTAATCCTCTCTGTGTTGGTACTGGCTAGGTAGGAACTGGGTTCAGAGCGACTGCTTTAGTGGGTTCAAAGGGATGTGAGGTCAGGCCCCTTAGGAGCACCCTTGGGAGCACCACCTGCTCTGTTACAGAGCTCAGCATAGAGCAGAGAGGGTGGTGACCTTTCTTCTCTCTCTGCTCTGGTCTCATCAGGGAGGAGAAGGCATGCTGCAGGATCCTCCTTCCCAGCCTTCCCCCACGGGAACCTCTGGAGTGGCTAGGTTAGTCTTGACAAGATGTCACTCTTGGAGTCTCTAAGGCAGGATAAGTATTCTGAGGGGAGTCAAGGGTCGAAAACCTAGGGAGTATATGCTCACCCCCACAATGGGATTGAGTGGGGGGGAACCTTAAGAATTTTGGTTCCCTTCCCTTCTGTTTTGCAAGTTTTTTTTTGTGGTGTAATAAGCCTAGACAAGGGACCAGAAGACATGATCTATAGTTCTGCCTGTTATTTGCTAGATTTGAATGCCATGTCACTTTTGCTTTCTAGGCCTCAGTTACCTTTCTTTCTTTCTTTCTTTCTTTCTTTCTTTCTTTCTTTCTTTCTTTCTTTCTTTCTTTCTTTCTGGGCTTCTCTGTGCAGCCCTGGCTGCCCTGGAACTTTATTTGTAGACCAGATTGGCCTCGAATTCACAGAGATCCACCTGCCTCTGCTTCCTGAGTGCTGGGCTTAAAGACTTGCACCACCAGGCCCAGCTTCAGTTACCTTTCTAGGGTGGTATTCTTTGAGTTTGGGGATTGAAAGCTCTGGATATTATGCTGCCATTAGAGTCAGACATAAGAGGAGCTATCCAGGGTGTACTTGAGGACGGCTCTGCTTCTGCCCTGCATCTGCCTTGGGAAAGCTCAACGGAGGTTTGTTGTAACTAGGTTGGGGGACTGGCATTGCAGGGCCAGTTGATGGTGACCTCCTCTAAAGCCCACAACACAGGGACAGGCCCAAAGTGCCAAGCCACTGACTACTAACTCAGCCAGGCCCAAATCCCTCATCCCCTTTGGCTCTACAAGGACCTCCTGAGAAACGAGGGCTACACAGGGCCTCTTTCTCAAACTGCCTGGGGCTGTGAGCTGGGGATATCGATGTGAATGGAGACCTGAGCACTGGGGGCCTGCTCACTCTTAGAGTTGGCCCTGTGGAGGATGTTTACAGTCGATGTGTTCTTCGCTCTCGGTCTCTCGCCCTCAGCCAGTGCTGCCTGGCTGCTTTGCACAACACACCTGCCTTTTTCCCTTGCCCTGGACGACTCCTCTTCTGATTTGACTCGAGGTCCTGAACCTAAGCCCTGGACAGGGCTGGAGCTGCCCACTGTTCTGTATCTTTTCTCCAGCTTTGCTGTTTCCCGCTACCTAATTTCAATGACTGTGAAAAGAAATTGTGTCTGAGCCATGGCCAGCTCTGGCTGGCCCCAATCCACCCTCTTTCTACTGTTTGGATAGCCATCCCTCTACTGTGTGACTGCTGTCTACTGCTGAGAGACTGCCACTGGATTTAGGACGGAAGGCTGCCATTTCCCTAGTACATCAAGACACATGATCACATGGCCATTTGTGACAGAGGCCAGGACTGATGAGGGCCCAGCACTCTGCAGCCTGTCTTCTGTGAGGGCTTTGTGCTCAGGGGGCTGGTCCCTTCCTTCTGGTGTTTTTATTTTTCGTTTTTTCGCTCATTCTCCTGTCCCATTTGCACATGACCCTTAAGCCCCCCCCTCCGCCCCTGTTGTTTAGGGTACCTATAGGGAGGGATCAAACTTGAGATATCACCAAGGTGTCATGACCAGGATAGTACACTGCCCTGAGGCGTGTGCCAGAATAATGGATCATGGAAAAGCAGCCTGGGCTCTGAATTTAGCCTTGCCTGCTCCGAGCATTTGAGTGTGATGGGGAGGGCCTATTACTCGAGTTCCAAATGGCCCCTGTTTTTTTAAAATGAGTTAATTACTTTGCAATGCTGAGGTCTAAACCCAGGGCCTCAAGCATGCTGGACAAGTGCTAGCCAACCTTCTGAGCTGCATCTCTGACACGAAGTCTTACTCAGTCTGAAGATGTTCTCTCTAAAGACATGCACCCCACCTCTTAAACATTTCTCTGTGTGTGGGGTTTCACTCTGTTCCCAGGGCTGTCCCAGAGTCTTGGGGCTCAGGTGACCCTCTTACTTCAGCCTCTCCCAAGGAAACAGGTGTGCAGTGCTATGTCCAACCACGGCCATTCCTGTTCATCATGCTGGGAACTGGGCCCGGGTGTGTGGGGCGCAGAGCTGGGAATTTGAGCCCAGAAGGAATAGAGAAGCGACACCTTGCTAGCATTTATCACATTTTTTCTCTTTTTAAAAATAAAACCAGACTCTGTTCTGAAAATAAAAAACTTGAGACTTGTGACAAGCTTCCTGTGTGGTTTAAGACCATTCCTGTCCTGATGTCCCCATTGAATTCTTAAATGTCACTGTGACATTTGTCATCATTTTGTAGGTTGGTGTTGCTGTGATGGGCACACCTTAGCTAAGTGCTTGGTGTGTGAGTAGGGGAGGCCGTGCACTGTAGCCTAGGACTGGAGATGTCTAACTGGGCCTTCCCCTGTTCACTGAGGAATTTCCCAGTTGTGCTGGCTTATCAGGGCAGAAGGCAGGAGATATGAATCTGCTTGTTTGAGACAGATTCTTTTTTTTTTTTTAAAGATTTATTTATTTATTATGTATACAGTGTTCTGTCCACATGTGTCCCTGTAGACCAGAAGAAGGCAAAAGATCTTCATGTTAGATGGTTGTGAGCCACCATGTGGTTGCTGGGAATTGAACTCAGGACCTTTGGAAGAGCAGCCAGTGCTCTCAACCTCTGAGCCATCTCTCCAGCCCCGAAACAGATTCTACACTGCTCAGGCTGGTTTCAAACACCTAAATTCAAGGAATCCTCCTGCCTCAGTCCCCAAAGTGGGTGGGACCACAGGAATGTGACCAGAAAGAAACCAACTTTAAATACTCTTTCCTATCATGTCACTCTTTCCTCAGCTAGAAGCATAATTTCCTGGTTTAAGTGAAGTCATTGTTTAAAATAACAAACAAGCTGGGCAGTGGTGGCGCACACCTTTAAGCCCAGCACTCAAGAGCAAGAAGCAGGTGGATCTCTGTGAGTTCGAGGCCAGCCTGGTCTACAGAGTGAGTTCCAGGATGGCCAGGACTGTTTCACAGAGAAACCAAATAAATAAATAAATAAATAAAACAAACAAAAACAAGAAAACAGGAGATTATTGAGTCTTAGGTAGACTGTTGGGTTTTCGCCCAAAGAAAGCTGTAGGGCTGGAGAGACGGCTCAGTGGTCAGAGTGGACTGCTCTCCAAGGGTTTGCTTCCCAGCATTCACACTGGGCAGTTCACAGTGTCCGTAATTCCAGCCCTAGACGATCGTGTATCCTTTTCTGCCCTCCTTGGGCATTGCTCTCATGTGCACAAGCATATACAAATACACACACCCATAATTAAAAGTAAAAATAGAATCTTAAAAAAAGTAAGTACTAGTAATTTTTCTTAGTGTGGAGGCAGCCAGTATTATTCAGATCACACTGTGTTGTCACCAGCAGGACTCTGGAGGCAAATGAGAGCACAGAACAGCAAGGAGCCGGGCCTGACCTCTTCCTAATTGTGACTGTGAGCAATTCTGTGCCCTCCTGGAACTATTTCATCATTTCTAACATAGCAGTTAGAAGGGGCATGTGGCACTACAGGCTTGCATTCCTAGCACTGAGGAAAGGCAGAAGGGCGAGTATTCAAGGCCAGTTTGGAGTACAGAGCAAGACGCTGTCTCAAAACAGCCTGGAGAGGAGGCTCAAAGTCAAGAGCACTGGCTGTTCTTCCAGGGGACCCAGGTTCAATTCTCAGGACAACCCTCTTCTGGCCTCCTTGAGCACTGGGCACACAAGTGTTATACAGGCATACACATTAAATAAATAAATAAAAGCTTAAACACACAACAAACAAAAAGCAAGAGCTATGGTAGCCACCTTGAAGGTATATGTTAATAATGAAATGAGAGCTGGATTGTGGTGGCACATGCCTTTTATGCTGGCACTCAGGAGGCAGAAGCAGGTGGATCTCTGTGAGTTCAAGGCCAGCCTGGTCTACCGAGCAAGTTCCAGGACAGCCAGGGCTACACAGAGAAACCCTGTCTTGAAAAAAACAAAACCACACACCACACACAAACAAAAAAAGAATGAAATGACATGGACTAGCAAGATGGCTCTGAGGGTGAAGGCATTTGCCTCTAAGCCAGGTAACATGAGTTCACGTCCCTGGCCCCACATGATGGAAAGAACTGCCCCACAAGGTGTCCCAGATCTGACTCCACAGGCTCTTACACATGCTTTTCCCTGAACTACACAGAGAATAAATACACAAATAAGAAAAGTAATAACATTAACATTTTTTAAAAGAATTAAATGAGGTGACCTATGCCAACACGGTTCTTTTCTTGAGCCTGTGATGACTCTCACAGGTTAAAACTGCATACAGGCACATGGTCATTTCTTCCTAAGTGGGGCCAGGCCACTCACACACACACACACACACACACACACACACACACACACACATATCTTCCTGGTGAGCCAGCAGTGCCTGTTGGCTTTGATCAGCTGGAGCACCTCGGAGACACCTGGGAAGCTGGAGGAGGGCTCAGTGTGGGGACAGGGAGGCCACCAGAGGTCAAATGAAGCTGTGGTACTGGCGCCAAGGGAGAGGACAAAATCACACCTTAGGTCACCAGGTTTTTATGCACACCAGCTCATTTCCTCGACATGGTCACCTGTAAGGTGGCTTCAGTTCCTTTTCCTGAAGCACTGGAAGTAGCCGTGAAGGCTGCTAGCAGGCAGCAAGGAAGCCACTTGAAACCTGGGTCTGTCACCTCTCAGACCTTCACTCTTCAGGAGCCTTCAGATGTCAGCTGCTCAGTGGGGTCAACTTTCCCTGTGGTAAAGATCAATTGTAGCTGAAAGCAGAACTGATTCTCACTTTCTGAAAAGGTCTGGTGGAAGATGAGAATAATGTCAACCAACAGGACAGTGTGGCAAAGTATCCCTTCTCAGGCCAAGGTTGCATCACTTTCCTCTCCAGTCTGAGATGAAGAATCTGGGTGCCAGCTCCTACTTAGGTATCCATACTCAAGGGTGATTCTCTAGGAAACGTATCCAGGTGTGTGGGGGAGGGGGTAAGACTTCTACTCACCCGTAAGCAACAAAACAGAGGACATCAAGTTCCACTAACAGACAAAGGCTGGCTCCATGGGATGATCACACTTTCATTACCCAAAATGGACAGGGCTGGAGTGGGGGCCTGGTGCCAGGAGAGACCCCAATGCAGAAAGCAGGGGAAAGAGCAGGAACAAAGAGGTGGCCCTGGAAGCCACTTGGGTATGAAGCGATGTGGCAAGCCTGGGGCATGCTACCCTGCCAGCTCCTCCCACAGGCTTGAGGAAGGGTGTGGCACTTACAGTCTTCACAACAACCTTCCACAACTATCGAGCTGTGGATATCAACCTATCCCACACTCATGTATCACTCAGTCAGTAGGAGCCACTACTCACACTAATCTCAGAGGGAGAGGGCAGTAAACAGCAGGAAAAGAGGCTAAACAATGCCTCAGGAGTCACAAGCTGCTCAACCCCAGAATCAGGTCATAGGCACAGACTGAGAGAGCTGGGCTTGTTGGGAGAGGTGGCAGTGCAGTAAGGAGCCACAGAGGGGCCCGGTGGTGGTTAGCGTGTTTTTAGCACTTCCTGGGTGGGGAGACCTCAGTGCCTCTCATGTGAACTTCACCCATCTCTTACAGACCACTATGAGGGAGGAGCTATGCTGTGCCCATTTTAGAGATGGCAACCTGAAGCCTAGGAAAGATGTATCTAAAGCTGCTCAGCCGGTGAGCAGTGGGGCCGCACACTCTTTGTAAGGCACATTTATCTGACTGGTGAGATGGACTGCACCAAAGAGCACTTGGGCTGTGGCTCTCTCGCACTGGCTGAGCCCACGGTATCTGACAGCCCTTGGGTGAGCACATTTTCTCAGGAAGCATTGGTGTAGCACACAGATAACCCTGTTTATCTGCTTACTTAGAATGGGAGTCTAGGCACTCTGGAGTCACAACTGTCCACTGCATCCTAACAGCCCTTGCCTGTTTCATTTTCTAAGGTTAAGTAACAGCTAAGCAAACCCATCTTAGCCTCCATTCACAGACGCCGGCTAGAAGGGACTGCACTGGGCCTTCCAAACTAGATCTGGATACTGAAACAACACTGTAGCAAGTGATGCCCAGGTCACCCGCTAACTGTCCCTTCCTTATTCTTTCCTTGTTTATTCTGCCCACTTTCTTTCTTGATTAGGCTCAAGATAGAAAGAAGGCAAAGCCACCTCCACTGTCAGGAGTTTGCCTGGGATGCACTGAAGTACCAATTTTGAGTACATGCCCCATGTGAGTGGTGGTCACATGCTTACGGATGCTTTCAGCTCACCAGGCCTCCCCTGCTACTTTTTTTTTTTTTTTTTTTTTTTTTTTTTTTTTTTTTTTTTGGTTTTTTGAGACAGGGTTTCTCTGTATAGCTTTGGAGGCTGTCCTGGATCTAGCTCTTGTAGACCAGGCTGGTCTCGAACTCACAGAGATCCACCTGCCTCTGCCTCCCGAATGCTGGGATTAAAGGTGTGCGCTACCACCGCCTGGCTTCCCCTGCTACTTTCTAGGAGATGCCCAAGGAGCTAAGAAAGCAGAACATGGGGGCAGTGGCTTCTCTCGGGGGTGGAGGGAGCTCTTCTTGCAAATCAAATCTTAAGAAGACTTCTGTGTGTGTTTTACCTGCATGAATGTGTGTGCACCATACACATGCCTGGTGCTTGAAGAGGCCAAAATTGGGGCAGTGGATCCCCGGGACCGGAGTTATTTATAGTGGGTGCTTGGTCCTGAACCTGGGTCCTCTGCAAGAGCAGCAATGCTCTTCAGCCAGCTCCAATCCCAAGTTTTTGTGTTTTTGCTGAGGACACTCGTGTGCTAGGAAAGTGCTCTATCACTGAGCCACACTTAGCTCCCTACACAGGGTCCCGCTTATTCCTGTTGATTGATGTGTGTGCCTTGTGTCATGAAATGCCTGGTGACATCAGACTCTCTCCTTTCAGGTAGGCCCCAGGGATTGAATTCAGAATAGCAAGCTTGGTGGCAAGTTCCTTTACCTATGGAGCCATCTTTTTTTCATTTCTTTTCTTTCTGTTTTGAGACAGGGTCACTATAACCGATGCTGGCTTGGAAGTTCTCCGGTCTCAGCCTTTCAAGTGTGCCGCCCGCCACTGCAGGCCCAAGTGGAGAATATGAATGCATAGGAATGATTTTAACGTTCTTGACGATCTTGGCATTCCTCTGACAGTGGACATCAGTTTATAGAATTTCTAACGTTCATGATGAGCAGACCTCCAAGGAGCAATAGGGTGTGAAGAACATGAAATGGTCAAGAAACCCAGAGAATTTTGATTCTGTTATATGGAAAATCCAGAACACACAGGTCTAGAGAGAGTGAGAGAAAACTGCCCTGGTGCTGCTGAGGTGGGAGTGTGCAGAGGAGTGCCAAGGTTCTTTCTGAGGTAATAGATGATAAGACTGATGGTCAATAAAGACGTTAGGGGAAATAAAGGGGCCAAAGGACCAATTAATTTACTGATACCGTCTAATGGGCAGTAGCTGGCAGCTGAGGGTTGTGAGTACTGGGTCAAGCTGGAGAGGACACTGTGGGGGCCAGGTCTGTGCTGCTGGGGGGCTGACTTGCTGCTGGGAGAACCTCTTGATGCTTAGTCCATATTTGAAGCTGGGGGGATGTCACAGGCTTGACTGGCATCCAGACCCAAGGACCCTTACTGCCAGAGCTGGAAAAGGCTGATGGGTGGAGGGCTTCTTTCTCTCACCTGGCCCTGGCCTTTAGCTGCTGAGGGCTGGATATGGGCCACAGTCTGAGACTTGGATCCTGAAGGGCTTGCCAATGCCAGGCAAGATTTTCTGTAAGAATCTAAAAAGTAGCCGGGTGTTGGTGGCGCACGCCTTTAATCCCAGCACTCAAGAGTCAGAGGCAGGCGGATCTCTGTGAGTTTGAGGCCAGCCTGGTCTCCAGAGTGAGTTCCAGGATGGCCAGGCCAGTGCTGTTTCACAGAGAAGCCCGGTCTCAAAAAACAAAACAAACAAAAACTCTAAAAGCAGGAACTTTTTGACCTATGGGGACAGGTGATTTAACAACTATGAATTCTTACCAACATAACAACTTTATTAGGTTTTCATTACTGTACACACATATGTACACAAGCGAACACTGTTTCTGCTTGCCCCACAGCATTGCACCGTCTTTTCTCCCCCGAAGCCTGAGGCATTGGCAGTGGACAGCATGGGGCCCAGGGCATGCACACCTGTGTATTCTCTAGGACCCAAGCCTGCTATCTGCCCCAAGAGGGTGCCCCCATGAGCTACATTCAACAACCTCTCCTCACACCTAAGGTATAGAGTGACATACTTTCCTCTGATCTCAGAGGGCCTGCTGTGTTTGCCACTGCCATGCCCCCATCACACTGCCCCTGTATCTTACTTTACTCCATTACTATACCCTGAGGTAGAGCCGAGGGGTCTTGGGCCCCAAGCTGCTGGGATCAGTTGACTGCAGTCCATGAAGAATCACACGCCACAGCCCTCCCACAGACTGGCTGCCAGCACTCTGAGTGCTGTGAGCTCAGGATTTCACACACCACAGCCCTCCCACAGACTGGCTGCCAGCGCTTGAGCTCAGGATTTCGCACGCCTCTTCCTGCTTCTTAAGTTTTGCATTCCCCATTTCCATCCTGACTCTTTCTACAAAACTGATCTGAGAAGACTTCTGGGTATATTTGGCACGCAGTTCCCTCCCCCACAGGACAACAGACCTGCTTGTGAATGAGTCCCCAGCTGCTCCCACCCTAGGCCCACAAAGTTCTCTCCACCCTGAGCGCTGGCTCCTTCATAATGCTGGATCCACAAGCTGCTTCCCTCCCAGGAAAGCAGTTTCTCTGCCCAGACCTCACCCCTCAGGCTCTTGTGTTTTGTTTTGTTTTTTTTTGCAGCCCAGGGCAGCAGCGCCCTCTATTCAGCCTCATGCCTGAGATTACCATGATGGCTAATTTTTCTTTTCTTTTCTTTTTTTTTTTTTTTTTGGTTTTTCGAGACAGGGTTTCTCTGTGGCTTTGGAGGCTGTCCTGGAACTAGCTCTTATAGACCAGGCTGGTCTCGAACTCACAGAGATCCGCCTGCCTCTGCCTCCCGAGTGCTGGGATTAAAGGCGAGCGCCACCACCACCGGCGATGGCTAATTTTTCATCCTTGCTGGTTCATAAGCTTCTTGGTGGCCAAGGCTGTGTCATGTAACTCGTTTTTTAATCCCAAGTGCCTGATGTACAGTAGGTACAGAAAAGATGCTCCAGGAATGAGTGACCCACTTGGCTGGAAGCAGGCTGTGGATTCTTGTGTGATAATGAAATGACCAGATGTTCATATGAAGTAAGTGGGGCGGGGGAGTTGCCTAGGTATCAGAATCAAAATGTCCACATTTATTTTTTTGAGTTCTTGCTATGTTGCCCACACTGGCCCCGAACCCCTGGGTTCAGGAGATCATCAGGTCTCAGGCCCAAGTGCTGGGACTTGGGGTATACACCACTCTGTCAGACTTAGAGAGCCACATCTCAAAGGCAGGAGCTGCCCACACACACATACACACACCAGCACAACACACATCCTTTAGGTACAGCATCGGGAGGCCCTAGGAGGGAGCCTGCTCTTCTGTGGCTGGTCTCTGTGGCTCCAAGCTGTCCCAGCCAGGGTTCTTCTCCAGCTCCCAGAAGAAGAGCTGCCGCTGGAGGCTCCTCAGGTTCTGCAGGGCCTCAGGAGACAGAGGCTCAGCTGCCTCGCCCACTTCTAGCTCTTCCTCCTCTGTGAGCCAGTCAGGGGGCTGAGGGGAGCTTCTGGAGATGTAGCCCTGGTCTGACTGCACTGACTGCCGCTGCTCCTCCTCAGTGGGCGTGCAGGGGTCCTTGAGGACCACCGCGGGCCTCGCCCAGCTCTCCTGGGCCTGTCCACTCAGACTCTGCTGCAGCACCGAGAGCATCAGGCTCTCCAGCTGCTCTCTTGCATCACTGTGGCAGTGGTCAGGGTCAGGTGACATCACTGGGGTGCTACACAGAGGCGAGTCATCAGAATCCGCCCCGGGGAGGCAGAGGATGCTGCTCCTCTGGGCCCCCAGCAGGGGGCAGGCCTCGCTGTCCTCTGCCAGGGTCAGCTGGGTAGCAGCTCCATTGCCATCGGGAAGAGGGACAGGCTCCACCACGTGAGCTGCAGGCACTTGTTCTGTTGGTAGCACCATGGTTTGGAGGGTCTGAGGCACTCGTTCTCTCTGTGGCGGCAGCTGCAGATCAAGCTTTGCTGCTCCACTTTCTTCCTCACTGACACAGACATTTACCACCAGGCAGCCCTCAGAAGGCTCCTGCATCAGGGGCTGTTGTTTGACAATTCTTCCCCCTGGTGGCAACAGTGGGTCTTCAAACACTTCTTCATCCAGGGATGGGAGATCTTGGTCACCTGCTAAGCAGAGGTTCTCCCGCTCAAACCAATCAGGGTGCTTGGTTTGCCACTCCTGGAACCTAACCACAGCCTCCTTGAGCTGCCGACCACTAGGGTTCTGCAGGTAATTTCCCCCGGTGAGCTCTTTGACATGGTGCATCCGGCCAGGTTCAAACATCTCCAGGTCCTGGATCCGGAAGTAAACCTCTTCAAATTTGTCCATGAGTGGGTACCTGGAGGTGATGTTGAAGAGGTCAGGGACGTCGTTCTCGCTACTGATGCCACTGAAGTAGCAAACAATGTAGGTGCCAAAGCAGGCTGGCCTCTTGAAGTCGGGCAGGATCATGTTCATGGCTGCTGTGAAAAGGTCCCCAGCAGGCTTCCAGTGGTCACACCGTAGCTGGACAGCAGGCTCAGCCCAACCCAAGATGGCCTTCCACTTGGCCTGGGTGCCTCGGGAGCACAGGATGATGATTTTGGAGTTGCTCTCCACCATTTCCTGCTTCTGTCGGCTGACCCAGGTCATGACCCCCATCTCTGAGATAACCTGCTCTTCCAGGAGGTCCAGGGCTACTTCAGTGCCGCAGTCAGTGATTAGGAACTGGGCGAACTTTAGGACCACCTCCACATAGAGGGGGTGGTCAGCAGAGTAGACAATCCAGACTTTCCTGGGCTTCAGGGGCGGGGGAGTCAAGTCAGCTCCAGGGGAGACGCCTGAGAGAAGAGAGGACATATGCTGATTGTCACCTGCTGGACCGGGGCAGACCCCTCCAGAGCAGTGGATCTCAAGCCTTTGGGGCCAAGTGACCCTTTCGCAGGGACTGCATATCAGACACTTATATCACAATTCAGATAATAACAAAATTACAGTTATGGAGTAGGAGCAAAACTAATTTTATGGTTGGAGGTCACCAGACCATAAGGAACTGTATTGAAGGGTCGCAGCGTTATGAAGGTTGAGAACCATTGCTCTAGAGGCAGCCTACGAGCTACCTGCACCAAAGGCAGAGTTTGGTTTTCTATCTTCAGCCAACAGCCTTCTGGGTAGGCTGTTGTGCTACACTGCCTTGTGATGTGTGAGAAATCATGCATGAAGAAGAACCAATCTCCCTCCCTCTTTCACCCCGAGTCCTCCAACCCCCAACCCCCAACAAGTTCTGTCTGGTTGTTGGCTGCTACTTTAATTATCTTAAATAAAAACAGGGTAAAAGGCTGGATGTGGTGGTGCACTCCTTTAATCCAGCACTTGGGAGATGGAGGCAGGAGGATCTCTATGAGTTCTGGGCCAGCCTGGTCTACAACCTGCATAGTGAGACCTCCTAAATCAAGATAAATAAAAAGACTAAAAGGCACAAGGATCTAACTATGGGAGAGAAACACCTGCTCAGGGAAGAGTGTTCTCTGCAAAATGTTCACCTTGCCTTCTTTGTCTAAGCAGTTAGAAAAAGGAGTTCTGGGCCCTGTGTTCGGGGTACCCTCAAAAGCCCTCTCTGCATGAGATGGGGTGGGGCCTTCTGGAAGTCTGAGCAGAGACAAATCCTATTCATCTACCCCAAGAACCCACAGCCAGGCTTTAGAGAGAAAGGCAGACGCCTCAGAACGCGCTACTAACCGTTGCATTTAGAGTCATCACCATGTTTCTCATGAGCAGATCCTGCAGGGAAAAGAAACCTACTGAGTGTCTTATTCATTCCAAAGAGAAACAGGGACCTGCTCACATGTGTCAGAGGGAAGTGCTGCTGAGGGACAAAGGGATCAAAGGAGCAGCCCCTAGCTGGTGACTCTGGGCCTCTGCACTCCTGAGTCATGCAGCTGTGGGAGTGTGAACCCCAGTCAGCTGTTCCAGGGAGCTGTATCAACAGGGAGCTACAGCTACTAAGGTCTCTCTGACACTCTAATTTTTCTCTGAGGAATGGGTCCATGGTGGTACACTCTAGAGAAGTGCCGGGCCCCTCCGTCAGTCAGCCAGGTCTGAATTATCTGTGGCACTCACCAAGTTGGGAGGCACAGACCTGAGCTGGGGTGCTCCATGGCCCCTCTCCTACAGTTGTGCTTCCCAGGCCTCTGTGAGCAGACTCCACTGCAGGGAAGGGCAGTCCACACAGGAAGCAGACATCTTACAACACTGCCTGCCAGAAGCAGCCCCCATGGCCCTTGCAACATTTCCTCCTGGTGTTCTTGAGGTGAGGAAGGGGAACCATAGTCTTAGGTAATTGTTTCCCTTGGACTGACATGTGACCAGGGGGATTATTTCTCTTTGGTCCAGGGAGGGGACCCAGGGCCCAGTGCATATTATGCAAGTGCTCTGCCTCTAAATTACATCTCAGCTCCTGAAGAAGAGACTTAGAATCTTAACTTCAATGCTCATTCTTTGGGCCTTTGCCCAGAACTGACAAAAGACAGTGTGATGACTAGTGAAACGTAATAGCAGCTGGGACATAGTTCAGCATTACCGTGAGATATCATGTGATCCTCCCCAGACTCTTGTGGACCCCAAAATTCAAGATGAACCATAATCCATATGAATGTTGGCCAGTGTACAAATAGCTTCCCAGATGACTGAAGACGCATTTTGTCATAGGATAGGGAAACTTAGCCCTTTAACTTGTCAGCATGCGTCCTCCTGATTAAAATCCAGCGTGGGGAAAGAACTCTAGGCTCTTGGAGGCATCCCATCTTACAGAAAAGGAAATGGAATCTAAGGATAAGTAATTACAAAGCGGGTAATGAGCAGGGGTTTAGGTTCCTGGCAGCTGAGATCACCAGGTCACATAATGGAAGCCACATTTTTGTTTCATTTGGCACTGAAGGGTGGAGTGAAGGCTACCCCTTAAACACAGCATGACAAAGGTCTAGACTGTGAGACGGGGGCAAGAAGGGAGGACACGTGAGCAAAGAGAAGAACGGGAAGCCCTGCCCACTCCTTACCAGAGAGCCTCCAGGTCATGCAGACGATCACCAGGATGACAGAGCCCACTAGCAGAATGGCGATGACCGTGATGAAGCAATACACCCACAGGGGAATAGAGTCTGTGACAAACAGAACAGTATGAGTCTGGGGAGGGGCCCCATGCACCCCAGCCCAGGCTCTGTCTATACCAGGCTACACTAATGATTTCACCCTTTGGCTGCCTGTGGCTGTAGTCTGCCTTCCTGGATTGGCTCAGGGATCAGCATAGACCTCATGTGGTCCCTTGGGAATGACCTTGACTGTAGGGAGGACTTACCTGCAAGGAAAACTGTAATAGAACAAAAGGAAACAGGGACAGGGTTACTCTTAATGATTAGTAGTCACCCAAGCCCATCACAGATGCCCACTAATGGCCTTAACCCGTTACATATGCCCACCGATGTCTTAACTCATTGGAGACACCACAGATGGCCTTAATCCTGCAGTCAGGCATAGCTATACTTGATGTAACCTTGTCCCTGGAGCCTCTTGAGCTGAAGCTCTAAGTGACAGCATTCTTCCCATGGGGGCCAAGGCTCCTTCCACCACATGTGTCCCCATTTGATCTGCATATGGCAGAGGCTGAGAGTCAGGGACATGTGGCTGCCAGCCCCTGCAAGCTCAAGTAGGAATCTGGGGCTATGTCTTTGGTGTGTGAACACGGGCAAATTATTATCTGTGTCTCAGTTTTCTCATATATAAACTTGGCATGTTAAAGCACTTCTGTGGTACATATTTCTAACTTTGTGAGAGAGACTAACTATCTTGTTTTTCAGTCAAGGAAAATGAGTTGGTAAGAAAAGTTAAGTACTGGCTAGGTGGTGGTGGCACACACCTTTAATCCAAGCACTCTGGAGGGGAGGCAGAAGCAGGCTGATCTCTGTGAGTTCGAGGCCAGCCTGGTCTACAAAGCTATTCAGAGAAACCCTGTCTCAAAAAACAAACAAACAAACAAAAAGTTTAAGTCCTTGCCTTCAGGTGCAAAGCTAGTGAAAGGCAGCAAAGAGTCCAACCTGGGAGTGTCTACCTTGGCTTCCAGCATCTCAAAGCTGAATCCTCCTCTCCCCACAGTCAGGACTCCTCTCTATGGACAACCTTCATCTTCTCTTACCCCATATATACAAATGACAACTCTTTCTCTCCTACCTGGAGCCTCTGTGATTTCTGGGCAGCGTACAGTCACAGCGTGTCTCAAGCAGTCATTCAGGCAGCTGTTGAAGAAGGGCTGGACCTAGAGGAGCAGAAGGGTGAAGATGGTTGGCCAGGCTTGGGGCTCTACATGGCTGTTGAGCTGCATGTGGTAGTGTGGACCTATATCCCAGCTGCTCAGGAAGCTGAGCTAGTCTCCTCAAGGCCAGCCTGGGAAATACAGGAAGACTATTTCAATTGGGCCTATGTGCCTTCTTTCCTTTTCTTTTCTTTTTAAAGATTTATTTATTTTTCTTATGTATGTCTGAGTGCTCTATCTGAATGTACACCCTTATGCCAGAAGAGGGCATCAGATCCCACTATAGATGGTCATGAGCAACCACACGGGAATTGAACTCAGGACCTCTGGAAGAGCAGTCAGAGCTCTTAACCTCTGAGCCATCTTTCCAGTCCTGCTCTTTATTTTTCAGTGTGGCTGTTAGACCAGGTTTCCCACTCTGATGAGGCTGGGAGGACCAGGAGGAGAAAGGCAGCCAGAGGCTCCTAACCAGTAGTGGCTGGAGCTGCTGCCCTCTGCCTGCTGCACCCCCCTGAATGGAAGGAAGGCCACCTGCACGTGCTCACCTGCACATGGTGGTGGCAGCACCAGCTAGACTTGCTTAGAGGGAGCGTGACATTGACTCGCTGGTGGAATTCCTCTTGTCTGGGCTGGAGAAAGAAGTAGAAGCTGGGTAAGACCCTGGGGTTGTGCTGGGAACTGGACCAGTGCCCCTTACAAGTACCAGAGGGAGAAACGCTTTTCTGATTTCTGGTCCCGGAAACTTGGTATTTCTGCAGGGTGACAAGCCTATGGTGAGTGGGCATTTCCCTCTGCTCTGGCTGCCGGGGACGGGGGCACCAATCTGTGTATGTGTGGCAGGAGTACAGGGAACACAACACACTTTCTGCTCCCAGCTGACCTCATCTTGCCTATTTTCCTTGTCTTAATCTCCTCATTTCTTTTTACATTTCCAAATAATTTTTGAGAGAAAGTAGAATAAATACAGGGACCAGGCAAGAATGTGAGAGTGTGAAAAACATGGAGTGGATAGGGTGTGGAAATGAGTGGGAAGGGGGGGCAATCTCATAACTACTTTACCAACTGAGGCCTCAGTCACAAGGAGATCCTCAAAATAGTTAACTACCAGGAAAACAGAAGGCGGAGGAGCAGCCTCGGCAGAGACAATTTTTCTACTTTCAACTGCAATCCAATAAGAACTTCGCCGAAAGGCTTGGTAAAAGGAGAACTTAAACTTCTGGGTTTAGATTTACAGTCTAAAGCTTACTCAACTATTCTCAACTAACTGCAAAGGCAGGCGGATCTCTATGAGTTCAAGACCAGCCTAGTTTACAAAGCGAGTTCCAAAAGCTACACAGAGATACTCTGTCTCGAAAAACCAAAGGAAGAAGAGGAGGAGGAGGAGGAGGAGGAGGAGGAGGAGGAGGAGGAGGATACCAGACCCCTTTTGACTCCTGAGAGGAAAAGGCAACAGCCAGGTGCACCTGAGTGAAGTGTTGGACCCTGGCAATACGGTTATCTAGGACCAGCAGGGAGGAAGGTTGAGGATTTGAGTGTATTTTAATCCATGTCTGAGGAGGTAAGAAATACAGGTACCGCAGGTATTTGCTGGATGTCATCGAAGCAGTTTTGATCTCCTGAGTGTGGAAAACTATCCAGCAGGATCTGGTAGGGGGTGGATTCATTCCACAGGATGAAGCTCACTCGCAGCTGCTGGGTGTCCAAGGTCTCCACAGTGATGTTAGGATCCCACAGGCTGCCTGCCAAGGGTGCAGGGTAGGTTGGGAATTAGGAATGTAGGTGTGTCCGTGGGCATATGTATCATGCAAGTTAACATGACCAGGTCAAGATCTCCGAGGCCAGCCACTTACCTGAGCTCACACATGGCGTAGTCATCTTCATCCTGGGGTCCTCGCAGTCTGCCAACCCCAATAAAAGAGAAATCAGTAAGTCTCTGCCTTTAGTGAGTTTGCTCTGGAATATTTGAGGTTTTCATTTTGTTTTTCTGATACAGGCTCACTCTACATAGCCCTAGCTGTCTGGAAACTCACTATAGACCAGGCTGGTCACAAAGATCTACCTGCCTCTGTGCTGGAATTAAAGGTGTGCACCCCTACACCCATCCTATTCTTGCAGGGTTTTGACATGGGAGCCAAGATTGCTGTGCCTCTGTGGATCCTGTTCAAAGATACCCTTCACAGTCTGCTCCAGGCCCAGACAGCAGCCCCTGACCAAAGATCCCATCAAACCGGGGCAACCTGGTTCCTATCTTAGGGAGAACCCCTGATGCAAGCATTTTCCTCCCGAGCTTAGAGCTTGCTTCACATGGTCAGAAATCTCTGGTTTACCCCAGTGTTCTCCCATATACAGCTTCCTGCCTAGAACAGACTCTGCCTTTTCTTTTCTCCTTCTGTCCTCCACTTTGGCCTCTCTGACCTCTCCACACACTGTTACCAGGTTCTCATTCAGGAGCCCTGGCTGGGTGCCAAGAGTCAGCATCCATTCATTCATTCACTCATTTCATCTTCTTTTGCCCATAGAACTGAGGATCAAACCCAGACAGGCACCTTGCCACTGAGCACTTGGGAAGTTCCCAGGGCCAGGGGAGGAGGGCGAACAGTCACTTAGCAAGTACTTACTGAGCCTCCTGTGTGTGATGTGGCCCTGGATACAGCACACACAGTGGAAATTACTGCTTTTTGCAGACTAATTCTATAGCAGAGACTATTAAACGTGGAATGACAATATTCAGTACCTTGTGAGAGTAAGGGGTGTGTGTAAGGGAAGCAGGGGAGCGGATGGAAGTGCACCACCTGAGTGTGTGCTTCCGGGGGAGGAGTTGTCGCCATCTTTAACTAACATTTCTTGGGCTGGGCTGTGGCTAAGTGGTAAAGTGTTTGCTCAGTGTGTATAAGGCCCTGAGTTTTCTCCCCATAGTCATAAAACAAACAAACAAACAAACAAAGATAAAATTTCCTGACTACTAGGTACAATGGGAAATGACGTCAGTGATGCCCAAGGTTCTGGGAAGGCAGAGCCAGAAAGTGACACAGAAGAAATGTGGTCTCTAAGAGGTTAGCTGGTGGTGACCATAGATAGACAGCATGGACTGGTGGGACAAGAGAGTAGGATGCATAGGTGTGCCAGCTGGTGTGCCAGCCAGATGCAGGTGGGATGTGGGAGTGAAGAAAGCCAGGGAAGCCGTGTCCAGGCTGAGTGCACAACCCTTCCAGGGTCTGACATTTTCTGGAATGGAAGTACTTCTCTGCTCACAAAGTGGAGGGAGGGACTCTGGTTGCCAACAAAGCCCTGGGATCTCTCTGCACATTTAATGTTGTACAACAGAGGACAGATGCTGCCTTCAAAGCATAAAGGCTTTGGCTTCAGCTGGGGGATTCCCAGGCCCTGGATCTGCAACCACTGTGGAGCAGCTTGGATTCTGCTGTTGGAGCTCCTGCTGCTTTCTTCATGCAGAGCCCAGGGTCAAGTGGACACTTGGAGGGGCACTCTTACCAGGCACAGAGATGATCTTGGATTTGTGGTTCGGGTCTCCATCAGGGATGGGCTTGGGCAGGTGGTGAACTGTTACCTCATACTCCTGACCAGGATCTACCACAAAGTGGCTGAAGGAAAACCGCCACTAAAGACACAAGGGGATGGGATGGGTCACATAACACCCTCACTCACTTATATCCAAGGTCCCAATCTCACACCTCCCCACAATCAGCTAAAAACAAACAAAAGGAGAATCACAGAATCCAAAATTAGATGCATGATATCTTTGTCCTTCTACATGTTTAAAAAAAAAATCCATCAGTAAATGGCCATGCCATTCACATGCTGAAGAATGATAGGGGTACGGGACACACGCACGCACGCACGCACGCACGCACGCACACACGCACACGCATGAACCAGGCTTTCAGAATGCATGGGTTCCACCCTCAGCACTCTGAATTTAAAAAAAGAAAGAAAGAAAAGAGAGGAAAGGAGAGGAAGGAAGGATGGAAAGAAGGAAGGAGGGAGGAGGGAGGGAAGAAAGGGAGGAAGGCAGGAAGCCATCTTAAACTCATCCTTTCAATTAGATGTACCTTTGGGGACACTGTACTGGTGTCATTTAGGAACACAGTGCAGTCAAACTGCCTTCTTACCCGCTTATAATGATGCTCCAGCTTGGTCAGAAACTCAAATTCAACACATAGCCGTTCGTTGGTGTTCAGCTGCAGGATGGACAGCTCTGCTCCTTTGAGGTACAGGATGCTGGCTGCAGGCCAGAGGGAGGGCACACAGATACAGACCAACCCCACCCCCAGGGTGTAGCACTCACTTCCCCATCTGCTCTCTTACCTAACTCCCCACTTCCCCACTTGCAGAAAGTACCTTCTAGGGGGACAAGGACAAGGGACACTCTATACTAGGAAGTGGCAAACACTTTGGGACTATGTGGCCAGAGCCCTGGCAGCAGGACACAGTGTCAACAACAGCTACCTCTTCATCCTCCCAGAGACTGCTGCAGTAAGCATCTAGCACACCATTTAGGGACCTACGGGAAGCACTTGCTGCCACGTCCTTCACAGATCTGGGACTTGCTCTGTTCAGAAATTCTGCAGTCATTCACTCCTAAAGAGCTTTGGAGTATGTTTTAAAAAGTGCTGGCTTCTTAGCTAAGAGAAAAAGCAGTTGGCAAACTGCTACCTTTTTTCTAGTACATATTTGTAATTATTTATATAATTAACCACTTGCCTTTTCCTTTCCGTGTAATAAAAAGTTGATGCAAAGGAAGGCCTTTCATAAAGACACTGAGTAGAAGATACTCTGTGGGCACACCTAGCGCTAGAAAAGCTCTCGCCATGTAAACGATGGCGCTTTCCTGCACTAAACGTGAGTGCCAGCAGTGGTATCTTCTGAGAGCAAACCCAAGCCCTGGCTGCTGCGGCCACTCACCGTCTGTCTGCAGTGTCCATTCGACATGCAACACAGGGACCAGGTCTCCGTGCTGGGTGGACGAAAAGTTCAGCTGTACATGGACATGTTTGGGGGAAGATGGGGTCAGGTTTTGATGGTGGATCCAGCTGTCATGCAGGCAGGTACCTGGCCAGGAGAACAGCTTTTAGAGACTACAGCCAAGACCCTGAGATCCAGAGGGACCTGGGAACTGCTACAAGTTCCCACATGGATCAAAGTCTGCAGATGCCCTCAATCTTCCAGCTGTGACCTTGGCAACCTATCTGCCCAGCCTGCTCTTTCCTAATGCTGTCCGGGGTGCCCACAAAGAACATTTGTGGGTCTAAAGAACATTTGGGGAAAAGGGGTTTGAAAAGATACAGTCATTGGAAATGGAGCACAGGAGGGAAGGGCAGGAATGAGAGCTTCTTTGTTTTTATTTGTAATGGCCCCTAGTTAGCACTGACACCTGAAGTATGTGTCCATCATTAACAAACAATCAGGGGCTAGGGATTGTGGCTCAGTACTATTTGTCTATTGTGTCTGAGAACCTGAGTTCTAATCTAGCATAGGAAAATACTTCTCATATACCAATAAACAAACAGGTAAAGAAAAAAAAAAAAAAAGCTAGCCATCTCCATGGATGCCTGTGACAAACTGAATGAATCAAGTACAAAGTCAGGTGGAGTAGGGTACCACCCCAGGCAACATCCAAAACCAAGGTGGCAGCTGGGTACTGCCTGACTTTTGCATAACGAATGAAGGTTTTCCACAAGAAGCACTGGTGCCTAAATCCAAGATGACCCCAGGATGGTGACAGCACCCATCCAGAGTATGCAGGAGGCCCCTGCAGAAGTGAACGGGAGGCACCTACAGAAGTGAGCAGGAGGCCCTCACTTCATCAGCAGAGCAGTAATAAGTGGAATAAAAAAAGAGGACTTACTATTCTTGACTCTGCAGCTCAGCCCCTGTGGGAAGAAAGCAAGTGGTGATTACAGATGAGAAAGAGCAGGCTCACAGTGGCCCAGGCCTGCTACACCCCATGAGAACAGTTCACACAGTTCCCCTGTTACACCCCATGAGAACAGTTCACACAGCCCTCCTGCTACACCCATGAGAACAGTTCACACAGCCCTCCAGCCTCCTCACCTCTCCCTTTTGGGAGCAGCTCTGCCCTCAGGTAATGGAAGTCTCCTGCACTTTCCCCCACTCTGTCCAGTCAAGGAGAGGGTTGTGAGGGGCAGACAGCAAACAGAATTGGAGGTTTGTTTTACTTATTTTTATTTTTTTTGGCTTCTGAGACAGGGTCTCACTATGTAGCCTGAATGGCTCAAGGCTTGCAATGTGGACCTGGATGACCTGGAACTCACAGAGATCAGATCGCCTCTGGTTCCCTGAGCGCTGGAGTTAAAGGCCACCAAGCAGGGCTAGAATGGGAGGCTTTTTGAATAACTGTTATGAGATGGGAGTTTAAACAACAATAAAAACAAAATAAAGTCAAATAAACAAAACAAAACAGAGAGGGTTTTCTGGCAAAGAAAAAATTTCGAGGCTTCCAATTTTCCTAAGAGGTGAAGGGTCAATTTACATTTTGTTTGTTCAAGACAGGGTTTCTTTGTATAGCCCTGGCTGTCCCAGAACTCACTTTGTAGTCCAGGCTGGCCTTGAACTTAGATATTTCGCATGCTCACACACACCTTACTAAAGAAGCCTCCACTTCAACATAAAATCAGAGTGGCCTAACACCAAGTTCACAGCACTGTTGGGCATTACCCAGGGCAGGGTGTGGGCGTGGGAGGTGGTGAAGGAGCCCCTTCACTTCACAAACACTTCAAACACTGGGCAGAGTTCTCAGACTGGGCATCCACTCGCAGCTCACTGAACCCAGAGAGAATCATTACGTGCAACTTGGCTAGCAGCAGTGCCCAAAGAGCCATTTTTGACAGTGTCTGACATGGGTGCTGGGAGATGACCTCTAGAGCTACTGCACACGAAGAGCTGGCAAGGAAACAAGGAGAATCCCTGGAATTCAGGCTCTGCCACTTCTGGGTCTTTGAAATACTCAGATTGGCCCAACCCGTCCTGTGGCCAGAGTCAGACGTGAAACTCAAGGAAGAGTTGGATAATGGGTACAGAGTGATGCACGAGGTGTAGGATGGATGCTGACTGATCCCTGCCTCCCTGGAGGGGGCAGAGTGCAGGACTCAGGGTTATGTGATGCCCCAGGGTTCACTCACAAAACGGGCCAAGGGACAATCCTGATGTTGTTTCATGTTAGGGTTCATTCTGTGTCTGCTATTTCATCTGTGTCCTACCTGTTTGGGACACCAGTTCACATACTCGTGGGGTCCAGACTTCTTGTACCTGACCCTGTCCTTCTTGACTCTCTCTCCCTGTCCCTGGACTCACACCACAGCCTGACACATGCTCCTTGCAGGTTCACAACAAGACCCATCTGGCTGTCTCTGCTCACTCTGACAGGCAAATGCCACAGTGTTTCCCGAGATTAGCTCCTTTCTTCCCATGTGGAACTCCTGTGAACTGGACACAGAGGGACAGAAATTGGCCTGGAGATCAGGAACTCCTACAGAAATGGCAAACATAGATACCCCATTTGGGGTAATTCCCTACTACCCACCACTAGCTACTTAAAACCCAGGGCAAGATGGCTCCTCTCCTGACAAGAAGAGGAAGTGGGAGGGGTTGAGAACCACTTGGTCAACAAGAGGGCTACAACTGACAGACTGACAGAAATAGCTTGATTCATCAGGTGCTGCCGTTTCTGTTTTGCCTGTTGATAGTGGGATTATGATCATCTATGAACACCAGAGACAACAGCTGCCTCGCTGCAACAATACTAAGCTGAAAACCAAAGCAATGGAGAGGAGAGATCAGGAGGTGAGTAAAACGGCACATTACAAAATGAGGGTGTCAAAAAAAAAAGCCATCAAAAGTGACTGCCTGTGGTGAGAGGGTATGGGTGTGTTAGAGGGAGCTATTGTTTTAAATATCTCAGAATAATTTTTAAAAAGGAACCCCTATATTACTTGATAAAATGAATTTAAAAAGGGAAGTTTATGATATTAATCTAAACAAAATTAGGTAAGCAAAGGAAAATGTTATTTTAGGGAAGGAAAAAGGGGACTTTTTATAATTAAAAAGTTATTTCATGTGTATGGGTGTTTGCCTGCATGTATATCTGGGTGCCACATGCCTGCCTGCAGCCTGCAGAAGTCAGAAGAGGGAGTGGGGTCCTCTGGAACTGGAGTTACAAGAAGTCATGAGCTGCCATGTGGGTGCTGGGAATTGAACTTAGGTCCTCTGGAAGAGCAGGTGCTGGGAATTGAACCAGGGACCTCTGGAAGAGCAGCCACTGCTCTTACACTGAGCTAACTCTTCAGCCCCTGATTACTTTTTCCTTATCATTTAATTCCAATATAGAATCTACACTGATGTGTGTGAGACTTGGGTATGCATATGCACACGTGTGTAAGTGTGTCTCACTCTCTCTACCCTATTTATTCTCTCACTGAATCAGGAACTCACTGCTCCAAGCTGGCCAGTGGGCCCCCAGAACCCACTTGTTTGTTTTCTAGCACTGGGGTTATGGGCACAGCTGCCACACCCAGCTTCTTAATGTGGTTGCTAGGGATCTGAACTCAGGACTTCATGCTTGCTTAGCAAGCATTTTACCCACAGAGTCATGTCCTCAGCCCCTGCAATTTTCTCATTTGTATTTATTGTGTGTGTAAATGCATGTTGGCACACATATGGAGAGAGCAGAAGACAGCTGAGTCTCATGAGTTGGTTCTTTCCTTTGACCCTGTAGATCCCCACTGATGGCACTCAGGCCATCAGGCTTGGAGGCAAGTGCCTTTACCCATTGAATCATGACAGCCCCTGTAATCTCATTTATTTGTTTGCTTTTTGAGACAGGGTTTCTCTGTGTGGCCCTGGCCTCTTTAATCCTTTTTTTTTTTTTTTTTCCCTGAGACAGAATTTCTCTGTAGCTTGGAGCCTATCCTGGCACTCGCTCTGTAGACCAGGCTGGCCTCGAACTCACAGAGATCCGCCTGCCTCTGCCTCCCGAGTGCTGGGACTAAAGGTGTGCACCACCAACACCGGGCTAATCTTAATAATATAAAATGCACTTGATATTATCTTTGGACACTAATAATATAAACGTTGTTCTGTCCAATAATTTTCTCTCCAGCTGCCTCCTTAACCCTTATAAAGTTCCTATCCCTAGAACTAAGGGTCTATCCCGTAGGAAACGTTCAGCACGTGTACATCCTGGTTAAATCCCAACAACACACATACAAGCATGGACACCACCCCAGACACCAACACCAACCAACCACTCATTCTTCCAAAATAGAAAGACAGGAATATCATTTATGACTGGGCAGTGGTGGCTCAAGCCTTAATTCCAGCCCTTGGGAGGCAGAGGCAGTCGGATCTTTGAGTTTGAGGCCGCCTGGTCTACAGATCGAGTTCCAAGACATCCAGGGCTACACAGAGACATCCTGTCTCAGAAAACCAAACCAAAACCAATACCCTCCCCTAAAAAATCATTTATCAGCTACTTCCTCATGAATGGCTTTGTTAGCCATTTTGTGGAAATTAGAGAACATTCACTGAACTGCCCCTGTTTAATCATTGTTTTTAATCATTGTACCTTAAACTGTGATGCTAACAGCCCCTTACAACATCTTTGGCTGCATCAAGAGGCTATGCAAAGCCACTGATGCTACCGTCCAGGTCTCCGTGTGTCTACTCGGTGATGTTCACATGAGGGTAGTCACCTACCAAGACAGTTCTCAGAACATCTCTCCACTGTTAGGCAATTCACACCTGTGGCACAGGGAAACTGGCCAGGTGGCTCCAGGTTCCAGAGCTACAGTGAGCTTGCTTTGCTCCAGAACATGCCCCAGCACCATTACCCTGCCTCCCAGTAAAGGGGTGTTTACAACAAACTGGCCTCGCCTCTGTACTCAAAGCAGGACGATTTAAAGAAGTGAAAGACTGGTTAGCTCTGGGCATTGAGCAAGCATTCCCAACAGCCTGATACTGGTTAGTGGAACACCCCATCACACAGCCTGAAGTCTTCACAGACAGTGCCAATGCTGATGCCTGTAAGGAGAGCACCACTTCTGTTAGAGAAGGACTGCAGTGCAAGAGATTCGGAGGCTTGCCTGGGGCCAGGTCTTCTGATCCGGCTCCGGGCTCCTGTTTGCTAGTTGATAATTGATGTTAGGGTCTTCTGCTGGCAGATTAGCCTGACAAAGGCAGTGGGCAGCAGGGGTGAAATGGGGTCAGTATGAGCAGGACCAGCTCCCTGCTGATTATGTCATTGGCACAGTAGCTGGAGAACATCCACCATAGGAGTACCCACAGAACGCAACTTTTTAACTTAGGGAAGAGTGGTAAGGCTGAGCACAGCTTCCGGCAACCACAAGACAAAAGGGCGATGCCAAACAGTCATTCTACTGCAAGTGAAAACCACAAGCACTCAGGAAAACGAACTGATGATGGTAACATACATGCATCCTGTCTGTAGATAGTGTGAGCACTCATGCTTGCCAACTCCCGGGCGCTGCTTGCTGGCTTTCCTTAAGAATAGCAGTTAATGGAGACTTGAACTATGAGAAACCTAGGCAAGCCAATGAAAAAGCATCCAGAGGAATACAACTACTCATCGTGTCTCCAGGGTTGGTTTGTTGGGAAGAGTAGTCATCCTGGCTTTGAGGCGCTAATTCCAGGCAGCCAGAACAAGTTCAATGGCCTCAGGTTACCACTGCATGAAAAGCAGGGGAATGGAACCTCTGTCTTCTTCTATTCTTTGGTACTTTCATGCAACACGTATTTACCAAGCACCTCGGCTGTGCTTGCAGCATGGAGCAAGGAACAGAGCAGATATGCTGAAGCCTCCTTCCTTCCAGTCATAGGAAGGAGAGACTGACAGTTTCAACAGTTTTCAACAGTCTTTTTCTTATGTTTAGAAAGTGGCAGGCTCCCTTTGAGATGTCTCATCCAGTCCTCTTATGGAGGAAATAAACCACACTGTGTCTGTGTGTGTGTGTGTGTGTGTGTGTGTGTGTGTGTGTGTGTGTGTGTGTATGTGTGTATACAGTGTGGGTTTTCTTTTTTGCATTTCTGGGGATGGAACCCAGAGACCACTGAGTCACACCCTTAGCTCTAGTCTCTTTTAAAAAGGACAAGCCAACAGGGAAGCTGCCAGCCTGTGGGGTTGAGTTGTCTGTCGGTGAGCCAGCAGAGGGGAAGAGAGAGAAGGCAGAGAAATGGGGCCACCAGTCAAACCCTTTAAGGGGCTGGAAAGGTAGGGAGCTCAGCATGGAAAAGAAGCTCTCCTGCAGACAACCAAGGGGAGATTCCCAGCGCCCACATGGTGGCTCTCAACTGACTGTAACTATAGTTCCAGGACATGCAATGCCCAATTAACTCCACAGCCACCAGGCATACATGTGGTGCACATAAATAGATGAAGTCGAAACACACACACACAGGAGAAAATGAACAAAATCTAAGTTAAAAATAAAAACCAAAATCTGCCAGGCGTTGGTGGTGTATGCCTTTAGTCCCAGCACTCGGGAGGCAGAGGTAGGTGGATCTCTGTGAGTTCGACACCAGCCTGGTCTACAAGAGCTAGTTCCAGGACAGCCTCCAAAGCCACAAGAAACCTTGTCTCAAAAAACAAAAAACCAAACCAAACCAACAAAAAACAAAATGTTGTTGGTAGTGACAGTAGCTTAGAGCATAGATTAGTTTTTGTAGCCCTCACAACCCCCTAAACTCAGTTCTCACCCCATCTCCCTTTCCTGCTCTACAGACACACACATCCTCCAGCCATACACTTAACCCTGCCTCACCTAGGGCCATTGGCAGAGGCACCATCCACCAAAAGGAATGAAAACTTTAACCAAACTGTTGCTGAGACTCCCACTCTAGAACAGAACCTCCCAACTGTCTTTTTAATGAGAAACAGCCCAGCTGGGAGTTATTTTTCCCCTCCTGGAATTTTGCGACCTCATAGGTTGTACAAAGAGCACTTGCTCGGGGCTGCCTTGCAAGCCAGGTTCCATATCCAAGACAACTTCACCCCGGACCACTGGAGCACCAGGGGTTATTGCTTTAGTTTCAGTTTACTTGGATCTGGAAGGCCTTTGGCAAATGACAAGCCACAAACAGCAATTTTCCATGTGTGACACTTCTTTCTTGTCAAAGATGTCACTCTGCTTTGCCCAATACGGGGATCACTATGACATTTGCCAACAGCCCTGAGACTTTTTAAAAACACATTTTTTCCCCTGTAAAATATTCACCCTCTCTCCACCCTCTTGGTAAATCTACATCCTCTGACTCAGCTACTGAACAGTTTCTGGGGTCAGCAGTGGAAGTGGAGGGGAAGGGGCTGGGAAAACCAGCGGGGGAAATTTCGAGAAGGCTGGGAGGGGAGAAAGGGAGAAAGGTTTATTTGTGGAACAGGCAGTCTGTTTTGCACCGGTTAGGTTTGTTTTCTCTCTCTGTTTTCGACAACTATCGGGTTTAGCAGCACTGTTCAACCGACAGGGGTGTGTCAGGTTCCTACGAGCGCAGCGGGGGGTCCTCCTTGATAGTCACAAATTGGCAGACTTCCCACTCGGCCCATCATCCCACGTGTTAAAACTCAATTCTGGGATTCTCGGTTCTGGGACAAACATGGTGGTGGAGATAAGGGATGGGCGGTATCTGTCAGTCCTCCGCTGGTGGCCAGGCCACATCCTGTTTGATTCCCCTGGGCACCGGGCTCGCCCGGGCTACCAACCTATGGGGACCCCCGAGGCCGGGCAGGTGCGGCTGAGCCTGGTAGAGCTGGAGGATGACTTCCCAGGCAGCATGGAGTTGGGTGTCAGTCCAAAGCGGTCCAGCTCCTGCCAAGGCCCCTTCTCCAGATCCCTGTCCAACCAGAGTCGCCTCTGGTGTCTCTGCCTCCCGATTCTGAGGCCCCGACTGAACTGTCACCGCCGCCCGCGTGGTTTCCCTAGAACTCCCTCTCATTTCGCCGCCACACCGCGACTCCACTCGGGAGTAGGTGCCAGCGCGCCTCCATGTCGCGCGCACGACCGGGGCCGCCTCCCAGTCCCTCCCCAGGCTCGCAGCCCCGACGGCCCTCAGCACCTTCGACAGCTCCGCGCACTGCCCCCCGCCCTTCCCCCCGCCGTCCTCTCCTCCTCCCCCGACGGCCCCAGCTTCCTCGCTACTCGGCCGGGTCTCGGGCTCACCTCCTGCGCGCAGACCGGAGCTGGGGCGTCCAAGAGGCGCGGGGAGGCGCGGCCCGGGGCCCGCACGCTCAGCAGCAGAAGCAGCCGTCCCAGCTCGAGCCCGCGAACGACCCGCGGCCGGCGGCGCGGAGTCCCCATGGCCCCGGCACTGTCGCGGAGCGCTCGCGGCTGGCTCTGCCGGGCGGGCAGGGCCCGCGAAGGCGCTCCCCCGGCCAGGACTCGCGCGCGTCGGCGGCCTCCTTCCCCGGGCTTCCGGCTCCTCCGAGGACGGGAGGGCGGGGCCCGGGCGGCGCGTGGGCGGAGCTGTGCTTCCTCTGGCCCCGCCCCAGCCACTGCCCAGGTGCGCTCTCGGCCTCCTTGGCTGGGCGGGGACTGGAGACTTTTTGGAGACTTTTACCAGTCCCCTCGCTGTGGAGCCGGGATTGCACTCGCCATCGTACCCTCCCCGTTTACTCTGACCCTGTGCAGATCTATTCCTCCATTTAGTCATTTTAGTCTAGTCCCCGACTCGGGGACTCAAAAGAGTCTTGTTTCCCCAGTCTCTTCCCACTCCATGTTTTATGCATTGTAAACCTGTTAACAGAGAAACGAGCCCGTCTCATCGTCGTAATGCTCATTTGTTCTCATTTTTCTGTACATCTTTCCAGTCCTTGATGGCCTGACCGTGTAGTGTAAGCCATAGTTATCACGTCCTTGGAAGTCTGTAGTTTCTCCCCTTTTTAAGTTCTGTATCATACACACTCAACAAACATTGGAGACCTGTTTATGTGACTCACAGAAGATTTAGCGCTAAACGGTTGCATGAAGTTTTTTTTTTTTTCCCACACACTTGTGATATGACTCACAAAGTCATTTCTTGACATTGCAAAGTAAGTTAAACACAATTGAGCTAGGTTTTTCTATCTTGTCTATCTAGAAATTTTCAGTTCAAGGACATCATGGTAATTTAGAGTATGACCTATGACCTTAAACAATAAACACTAGAAGTATTTGGAAAGTAAATGCACTATGAGCCCCATTAATGGAATTACTCTACTGAATTTGGAGCTCTGAACTGTCAGGTGAGAGAAAAAATAAAAAACAAACAAACAAAAGTCCTGGTCGGGCGGTAGTGGCCCACACTCCGGAGGCAGAGGCAGGCAGGTCTCTGCGAGTTTGAAGCCAGCCTGGTCTTCGAAGAGTTCCAGGACAGTCTCCAAACCTACAGAGAAACCCTGTCTCAAACAAACAAACAAACAAACAAAAATCCTGAACAGTGGCTTGAGTAAAGCAAACACATCATTCTGTAAAGAGATGGGGAGGCTCTGACCTTGCTGAGTGGGAAGGGTTAAAAGTGGATCAGAGGTGGGAAGTGGAGACAGCTTCGAGGAGCCTTGCTGTGGAACTGTGGAGTACATTATGGCTGGTTGGGGCTGCAGCACAGGAGAGCTTGCTTCCATGCTGAGGTGCAGAGGACTAAGGGGGGTGGGGAGGAGTGGTCTGAGTAGGGGGGTGGGGAGGAGTGGTCTGAGTAGTACCATGGACAGGGTCCCTGAGGATGCCTGTGATGTGCTCCAGAACCCACCAGAGAGACGTGCCTTTCCACCACTGTGGACAGGAGCTGATAGGAATGGTGAAAATGGGTTTGGAAGGAAACAAGGGTCTTGGGTGATGATTTCTGTGCTTTCAGTTTTGAAGCAGGAGATGGAGTGTAAGAGCCAGGCTGAAGGCCTGGAAAGAAAGGAGAGGTGTTGAAGCTACTAGGTAAATAGGCTAATGGCTTCTCCCAGATTCAGACATTTTGGACCCTGGAATCCAGGTGCATATTGAAGAAAAGGGACAGATCCAGACAAGACTAGCACCAGGGCCCTGGATTATTCTTGGAGCAAGTTCCTGACACCAACAATCCTACCTTGTAACCCACAGAGGCGTATCTTTATATTCCCTTTGGCCTGGCCAGCCAGTGGGTGATTAGCAAAACCCAGGAAGACACAGCCCATGGGGTAGCTCCCCAATAGAGCAGTTGGCAGAGTAGCAGTTGGTAGGCAGGGGAGGTTCCCAATACAGTAGAGGGCTTCTGCAAGAGGCTAAGGGATTCAGCTGTTGCCCCAGGAGCAGCACAATCTAAGAAGTAAGTCTTTTAAGCACAAATGAGATGTTTTCTTATCTGTAAACAGTATTATCTGTGCCCAGTTTGTAAGGCCAGTCTAAGGACTGAGTCCATCACTGTTCAGTTTGTAGGAAAGTGTCTGGCACCATCGTACTCAACGGGAGTGTTTCTCCTTGTCCCCATCTATCCCTTTGGCCCTTCTTGCTCATCTACCCGCTTGACAGGACCATCAGCTAGTCTGGTGCCTGCCTGTCCTGCTGCCTGTGCATGAACTACACCCGTGTCACCTGACACACAAGGAGTGACAATGTTCACACAGTACACCTATGCAGAGACGCTTCGGTAGTGGTTGCCAGTAAAACTTAAATTATTATTTTATTTTTTGCTTTAAAAATTATTCTTTGACAATCTGATACATGTGTAAAATGTAACTTGACCACACCCACCGCACTCTTTACTTCCTTTCCCGGCCCATCCCATGTCTCCCTCCCATGTTCATGTCCTCTGTGTTTTTAATTTATTTATTTATTTATTTTTTGTTTTTTTGAGACAGGGTTTCTCTGTGTAGCTTTGGAGCCTATCCTGGCACTCGCTCTGGAGACCAGGCTGGCCTCGAACTCACAGAGATGCACCTGCCTCTGCCTCCCGAGTGCTGGGATTAAAGGTGTGCGCCACCAACGCCCGACTAATTTACTTTTTAAAAAAGATTTTATTTATTTATTATTTATACATTGTGCTTCCATGTATATCTGCACACCAGAAGAGGGCACCAGATCTCATAACAGATGGTTGTGAGCCACCATGTGGTTGCTGGGACTTGAACTCAGGACCTCTGGAAGAGCAGTCAGTGCTCTTAACCTCTGAGCCATCTCTCCAGCTCGACTAATTTACTTTTTATTAATTTATTTTTTACATTCCAATTCCAGTTCCCCCTCCCTCCTTCACTCCTGCTCCCTCCCACCTCCCATCTGCTCCTCAGAGAGGGTAAGGCCTCCCATCATCTCGTTGAGCAGGACCAAGGCACCTCCCCACCTCCCTACACCCCTGTGTGTAGACTGGGCAAGGTATCTCTCCATATAGAATGGGCTCCACTAAGTCAGTTTGTACATTAGAGTTAGATCTTGGACCCACTGCCAGTGGCCCCATATATTGTCCCAGTCTCATGTCCTCTGTTTTTAAAAATGACTCATTGAGTCCAGTCAGTCCTGTCTACATGCCCATGGGTCTGGGGCCATCCACTGGAGCGTGGGCAATCTACCAGAGGTAACACACCCAGAGAAAATCGACTCAAACCCTCCCACAGCCATCAACTGCCAATGGCTTCTCACTAGGGGTGGGGGCTCGAGAGCTCCTCCCCCACCAATGCTGGAATGCCCGCTGCCTTGATTTGTGCAGGTGGAGACCACGGAGGCTGTGAGGTCATGGGAGCAACAGTCATGCCATGTGCAGAAGACCCATTTCCCAGCGGCCCTCTCCATCCTCTGGCTTTTTCATTCTTTCTACCCCCTCTCCACGATATTTCCCAAGCCTCGGCACGTGGAGGGGTGGATACAAATGTCTCACTTAGGACTGGCCACTCAAAAGCATAAACTGCTACCCACTGCTATGGAAGCTTCCTTGGCCAAAGGTTGAGAACAGCGGTCACCCTTGGGTATGAACAAACAGGTAGAAGGCAGTTTCAGAACATGAGCATTCTGTGTTTACAGAACCAGGCATGAGCCCTTCCTGTGGAACAGATCTGGAATTCAATCAGCAGCTTATGAATATTCCCACACGGGTCATAAAGAGTCATGCCACTATTGCCGAAGTGGTCACTATACCCTCCCCCCGTGGGGGGGGCACTGTGAAAGCTAGCCAACAGGAAGTTTTCAGGTCAGTTCCAGATGGACTTCTCTGTTCTGAAAACAGAGAGTTGTGTCTTCAGCAACCCAATGTGTCTTACTATCTAGTAATGGGGAGCAGCCAAGATCACTAATAATAGACAATGTTCTTTTGGAAGTCTCCAGGGCCTCCCTGACCTGACACTCATAGGGGAGTGTCCCATACAGACACTGACAGACACTCAAGTTTTTTTTTTTTTAAAACCATGTCTTAACATAAACAAAATGCACTTTTCTATCAAATGTTAACTAGCACGAAGTTCCATTTAAAAGAAAATTCAAAGAAGCCACTTTGTGGGAATTCAAACTCTTCCCGGGCCAACACTTCTTGTAATCAAATATATGCTCACAGTTGCACTCTCTGATAAGAATTGCATTCTGGGTATCATCACTGTGTCACCTAAAACTAGCTGGTCACTAAGAATGTGAGGCCGAGGTCTGACCACTCAGAGTGAGGCACAGGACCTCTTAGGAATAAAAACCTAGCAGATTTGACATGGCTGTGCACCCTTCTGCAGGCATAAAACTTTTTGCTCCCACATCCAACAGGGGACTCTTTTTTATTATTACCAAGGATCCTGGGGAGCAGATTCCCACCCTGGGAAGTACACTCTGCTGACTTGTCCCATGGCCCTGGATGTAGAGCACTCGAGTTCCAGGGCTAACAGAAACCCCCAAACAGAAGTAAACCAGTAACACAGACCCAAACAAGGCCCACCACAAGAACCAAGTGAGAACAACACTACAGCCTTGGTAGCTGGGGGTTTTCAGAGGGTGACGATGTGACTAAGGTGTTGTCAGTCATGAGGCTGAGCTGAAAATGAGGAACAAAAGGCCCTGGGAGAATAAGAGAACTGCCATTGTGGGCGATGGTGGTAGAATAGGGGACATTGAGCAAATCCAGCAAATCCAGGGTGGAGTGTGAGAAGGGGGTGAAGACTACTGCCTCCCACATTCTCCTGATAGTCCATTAGGGTAGATGTTGAGGTTCTGGCAAGACAAACCAAGAGAAGCAGAGGAAATTTGGTGTCTCAGTACTGCTTTGGTGGCTGAGGCATCCCTGAGGTTGTGTGTGATTGAGATGTATATTCAAGCTCAAAGCAATTGCAGGCTCCCAATCTGAGGTTCCAGTCTCTCAAGACAAACAGAGACAGAGGGAGTGATTTGGGCAGTGTACGGGAAACCTCCATGTAGAACATGACCTGGAGGTACCTTCACATGGCATAAGGA